GTTATAATTTAAAGTAATACTATTACTTACTAACCTAAAGTAATAACCTAAAGTAAACCTAAAGTGATACTCAATGGCTTATTTATTTTTATAAGTATTTTATTAATTATTGTAATAAATTGGTTTTATACAAAATTAACAATTCACTATTACAATTTCTAAAATAACATTTATAATGGAACATATACAGCATTTTATTTTAATACTATTACTTCATATGTTTATAAAGAATTTTCTATAGAATTTTTCTATAGAAACGTTCTATATATATATATTTGAATGAAAAATTCAATAACGTATACTAATAAATGTACGTATATGCACATGCATATTCAGACTAGTGATGTGCAGCTTTTTAAATTTAAAAAAAATACTGTTCATACTTTTTATTAACAATAAGTAAAAATAAACTTCGATCAAAATAAATATTTGTGCTTTTTAATAATACGTCTGTGTGAATTTATATATATTTTCCAATCCTGCAAAATTACACTAATATTTTTGATCTTAAAACAGTTTTTATTTAAACTGTAATAGTAATATCGCAAATTAGATATTGTCCCAGTCAGAAACAGTTCCTCATCGAAAAAACGTTTCGAAAAGACTGTCTCTGATTAGGTAATGCCAATAAGCATCTTTTAAAATATTGTTAACTGAATATTGTAACATTTTAAACAGATATTCAGCATTAATATTTAATTTGTAATTACTATTCCAACTGCCTCATATAAACTTGCATATAATATATAATTCTGTGCGTAACTATATACATAAAAAAAATTATCCAAGCGTATTTTTATTATAAGGACGTACATAAAATATGATTGGATAATTTTCTTTATGCGGTTATAAATTCGCCTGGATGAATCCTTATCAATCCTTAGTATTACGTTTATGATTCATATCGTAATTCTTAATATAAGGAAATTCCGGTATTTATGTCGGGATATTACGCACGGGAATTTACGTCGCAGAAATCAGAAAAAGGAGTAAGGATAATGCATACGCAACCATTTTGATATATGCCTTTGTGATATATGCCTTTATATCAGTATAACGTATCATATAGTCATGCTGCACAATGAACGATAAACACTTCTGCGTTCGGTGCGCAAGTCATAATACGAGCAATCTCGTTATTACGATTACTATAACGTATTAGCGTTATAACGAGTTACGCAGTTACGCGATACGCGTAAGGCAAATACACCTCATGGGACTTTATTTTAAGCTTTATTGATGTAAAAGTAATTCGATTTGTAGAGATCAAAACGGTAGCGAATATCACAGAGGCGACGAACACGGCAATAAGCTCTACGAATGTGATTCGATTTGAAGAACCAAAATAATAGCAGATATCACAGAAGCAATGAACACAATAACAGGTAACTCTACTGATGTAAATATAACTCGATTTCGACGTCTGAATCGTAGAAAGTGCTATCGAAAAAAAACATGAAAAAAGATCTCTGTCAATGAATGAAGAAAAGCGATCTATTTCGCATGAAACGTGAAGACCGGTTTATATCGGAAATACATACGAAGTATGATTTATAACGGAAAAACAAGAAGACACAGTCGCATAAAATTAAAAGATCTATATAGCGTAATATTCACTACTCATAAATTTTATACAAAGTTACGAAAAATTAAATAATATATGAATAAATGAGTGCGAGAAACAGGATTGAAAATCAAGATGATTCTCGTTCTCAGTCATAAAATTTATGAGAAAATATATTGTGCTATATAACCTCTTCTTTAATCGACTTGAACTGACTTGAACCGTTCTTTTCATTTACTCGATATAAATCGTACTTCGTATGCGTTTCGACATTGATCGATCTTCATGCCTTATGCGAAATAGATCGCTTTTCATTCATTTCTTGACATAAATCTTTCTTTATGTTTTTCTCGCTATAACTTCTACGGCTCAGGCGTCGATTTACAGAGATGAAAATGACAGTGGGTGTCGAAGAATCGATGAATGCAACAGTAATGCTGCTGATTCTGCAATATGTTTGTACTGTCTATAGTCGGAAGTCAGATATCTGTTTCCTGTACTAGACCGCACTTAGAATTCTTTCTCGCTTTTGATAAATATCAAACATATACCTATCTCACTTTAAATTCCAAAAGTGTATATACACTAGTTCAGCAATAGAAAACAGACCTTTAATCTTAATCTAAATAGTGAAGTTGCCAATCAGAGTTGCCAACTATTGATCAACTTCACCGATAAGACTCAGGAATTCCTCTTATCGGTGATGTGACGCCAGTTTCCGGTTTGCGCTACCACTTGGTAACGCATGGTGGGAGAAGAGTCTTCCAGGACTACGATATTAGCTGCGTTCAGCAGAACACTTATTTTGCAACTGTTGGAAGTTTTCTTCGCGCTGATTGGGTTATGTTTTTAGAGAAATGGTCCTATCTCAACAGAGAATCATAAAACGATTGCAAAACTATTTTGTTCTTTTGAACGCAGCCGTTGTAAAATCAACAAGAAACTCTACTGATATAATATGGTTCGGCATGTAGAGGTCAAAACGGTACAGCGAGTGCCACAGAAGTGAAAAACACGACACAAAACTCTCCATCGATAATAGCACTAAAGTACGATTCTTATTTGAATATTCTAGACAGACAGCGAAGGCAACGAATGTGGCAGCAAAAAACTACCAATATATTTCGAGAAACGACAGCAGGTACCACAGAAGCAATGAATACGACAGCAGGTAATTCGATCCCTTGATAAAATATTAGCAATTTGGAGTTAAATTGGCGGTAAACTCGATCAGAGATCATTTGACTACAAAATCATAACATCTGTGTCCGCATTTGGTTATGCATTTGTTAATAAAGCCTGCTGTGTAGTAGATTGATAGCGGAAATCGAGCAGAGTTTGCTCGAATCAGATTCTACTCTCAATCTGCCTCAGTACAGAGCTTTGTTCGGTTTCCACTATTAACCTTGCAGACTCATATTTTTTATGATAGCAATTTGTTGACAATGTTAGACAAACTCTGTGTACATTTTTTTGCCTTTCTATAATCAAAAATTGATAGCAGATCCTGCTCAAAATCTGTCTCCGCAGATTTTCCATCGGGGGATGTAAATATAATTCGATTTGCAGAGACGAAATTGATAGCGAGTGTTGCAGAGTTGATGAATGCGACGATAAAGGCTTATCTACATAGAAATCATAGACAGTCATAGGGTCTCAAGGCATAAAAAAACCAATTTTAGTCAAATATTCTTATATTTGACTGTGATTGATTAATTTCCTACTTAAGATCTCACAATCGTTTATGATTTCTATAGAAGAGTCTTGATATGGGGTTTACAATATAGAAATTGTAGCGATCATAGCGTTCTAAGTCATAGAAAATTGATCAATTATACTCTATTATTCTTCTTGTATTTGACTGTGATTAGTTAAATTTCTACGACTTAAGACGACCGCTACGAATTTTATTATAGAAATTGTTCTGATGGAAATATGGTTCGGTTTGTTAAAGATAAAACGATAGCGAGTACTACAGAGGTGATGAACGCGAAAACAAAAACCTCTGTTAATATGAATATGTTTCAATTTGGAGACACTAAAATGACAGCGGATGCTGCTGAAGCGACGAATGCAGCAGCAAAAAGCTCTACGAATATGAATGTGATTCGATTTGAAGACACCAAAACAGGTGCAGCAGGTGCCATAGAAGCAACGAACACGACAGCAGGTAATTTTACTGGTGTAAATATAATTCGATTTGGAGAGACAAAAATAACAGCGAATGCCATAGAATCGATGAATGCGACGGTAAAAAATTCTACTGATGTAAATATGATTCGGTTTGTAGAGGCCAAAGCGGTAGCGAATGCCACAAAGGAGACGAATGCGGCAATAAAAAATTTTGTTGGTGATATTTCAAAAGGTTATATAGGAACATTTCAATTTGGAAAGGCCAAAACTGTAGCGAGTGCGGCAGAGACGACGAACGCGACAAGAAACTTTACCGATATCAATCGATTTGAAGGGACCAAAATGGCAGCGGGTGTCACAGAGGAGATAAATCCAACAAAATATTTTGTTGATGTACATATGATACGGAGAGAGACTGAATTGTATCGAAGAGAAAAAGAACTTGCTGAGCGAGAGTTAATGTTAGCTCGAAAAGAAATTGAGATGCTTCGACAAGCTTTGATTGATGCTAGTCGCCCACAAAAAATATGTTGCTGTTTTGAAAAGATGTCATTGCAAAATGAAGAGTGTGAATCTGTCTTAGTGTCCAGACAAGATAGGCGCAGTTGTAAGCAGCAGCGACTGCAGCATAAAGACCAAAGGCATTAACTCTGACAACATTGTTCAAATTGTGATCAGCTTGATCATCGGGAACTACTGTCTGACAAAATACAATGATGTTAAAATATTTTAAGTTTTAAGTTTTAACGAAGGAAAGTATGTTGCCTCAGAATATCTTAGAAGAAAAACGAAAAGGAAATAGAAATATGAGAACAGCCATCCCAGCTTTTTTCGTAGGTCCATCAAAACCATCAAAACCTGTTATGACCGCAATCAATATTTATTTCAGTAACTGTTCTCTACTTGTTTCTCTGAAAGAGTTCGAAATATGTTTTATGCATCCTTGATATGTATTACATATTGGATATTTTATATTGAGTTTCTCTTTCTACAAATTTACGAAGCCTTATTTTACAGATTTCATTTAATTTCTTGCATATTTTCAAAGCTAACCTTATTTTATTTTTTGCTACAATATCATTTTCAATTCGGATATAATATTCTGATTTAATGCGTCATTCTCTCAATAGTCTGATTTAATGCGTCTAAAAAAAATAAGATAGAAAATGATAAGAATCGATAGGATCTGCTAATAATAATCTTATAATTTCCGATTTTAATTTATATTTTACTTTTTTTTGTATTTTACTTGTATTTTACTTTTTATATTTCAAAAAAATATTTTCACTTCTTATCATTATCTGATAAAAACGAAATCGTTGCACTACAATAGTTAGAAATCTTACAATTTATTGTTCTAATAAAATTGATAAATTATTAGAAACTTTATCGTAATCAATTGCGTAATCAATTCTTTGCTGAAAGAATATCCCAGTCTTATATAAAAAACTCTACCGTTGAGAAGATCAAAGGAATTGCAACAGAATAGTTCCATTATGACAGATATCGGAACGACATCAAGTAAGACTTGCGTTATAGAAAAAAAAAAATCTTTATTTTATAAGCTTTGCCATATTATACTTTGTTAATTTCATATTTTTTTATTTTGTGTGATCTGATTGTATTATGTAAGAAGCATTACTTTCTAGATAAGTATTAAAATAATAAAATGTTTTTTCTGTGCATCAACAGTTTTACTTTGCGATATACACTTAAGAATTAGCTTCTCACTTTTGTCGTCAAAATTAATTTATTCAAAGTTTACCGATTGCTATCTATTATTGAGGTGTATTTACATATGCAGTATAACTATTTGCATTATTTTAAATATTTAAATATTTTAAATGCTTTATGTAATGATTTTTACCTGCATGGCGACTCTCATTTAGGCTACCTACTTTACGAAATATATCAATTCACTACATCACTCGATATGATCTCGATGATTATGATGAATGAAAATTGTTCGAAGATCATCCTCAAACGTGTGTTAGAGAAAAAAAAATGCTTGGCAGCTATGGCAAATTTACGAAGTCTTATTTTACAGATTTCGTTTAATTACTTGCATTTCAATTTGTATTTTCAAACCTAATCTTATTTTATTTTTTGCTACAATATCATTTTAAATTCGAATATAATATTCTGATTTAATTAATGCATTCGAGGAAGACTAAACTTGATATTCATTATCTTGATCAGACGATGCAAACAATTTCTTCAAGTTAATCCAGCTACAATCCAGGTGATTATCCTGGATAAGGCGAAACTATCAGGAGAACGGCGGTCTGTTTATTTGCCTGCTTCCTCGTTCCTCGTGGATGCACTTTCACATCATTAATAGTTCTCCATGGACAACAGTCCATCCGCACGATAGTGCACAGTTACAGACTGATCCGGAGTCCGCAGCTAGGACTCTCTCTTCTGTCTCTTCTTAATCTTGTTCCTTCTTATTCTCCTGTTTAACTTCCCTTTAATTTCTCATTTTGCTGATCTTTCTTTGATTTTTCTTTATTTCTTCCTATATACATTTGAGTTCTGCATTCTCTCATTTTGATTTGGTCCCGTTTCTTTTTCTTTGATTTTTTATGTATTTATAGACATACAATAAATATCTTTCATTCTTTATATTTGTTTCTTTTCGAACTCTCGCCATTATTTCCTTGCTATGTTAAGATCTGTTATATCTTCTTTTGTGTTATTTTCCTTTTTCTACTCGTCTTCCCGCTATCTTTTGTGTGACTTTGCACCTTGCTGTTAATTATACTGTAGATATTACAAGCGACAATATATACTGTTCGATGTGTCGGAAGCGCATAACGGCAAATCTTGTGCAGGTGTCTGAGACATTTAAACTATTTAAAGAGACAACCACGCATGATGTCGCAAGTAAAATGAACTTTTTGATCAGATATAGAGTTTACGGTAATTTACTCCCACAGTATCTCAAGTCGAGCACGACATAGAATTGTTCTGGAGTGACGTTGTAGTGGATGCACTTTCACGTCATTATTATCGATGTCCTGGTAGACATACATATACAGATACAAGTATTTAAACAAGATACTGTTCAGATCTCTTAATGAGATTACAAATGAAATTAGTTCCTTCAATATTATCGCATGTGTAAGAGATATGTATCTCAAGTTTATTTTTTCCGAATATTTTAATAAATCGTTTATTTTTTAGCATATACATATAAAATCGATTTATTAATTATAAATATACAATCAGTATTTCTATCTTCAGCATAAGATCAATAAAAAGATTTTACCTATTTTAATATGAAAAATGACTTAGAAATACTTGTTTTGCTTGGAAAGAGAATGAGCCTTGTTGCATGGAAAGAAACTTTTTGATACACTACATCAAGCAAAGGCACTTATATATTAGTGCCAGTTATTTTATTCAAGGGTAACGAGACAGGTTTTAGAATCAATGTAATGAAATTAATATGCATGTTTTTCGTAAATTCTACCATTCCATCGGTGAAGCATTAAATTAGGTGTATCAAAAAGGCATAAAATATTTTTTCACTTTCTCAATTAAATTATTTTTTATTCATTGCATACTGTTCAATAATATCAATAGAATTAATATTATGAAATGGACAGTAAAGCTTATTAGTCAATAATAATTCATATCAGAATTTAAGAAAGATTATTGTTTATAATTTTATGCGTATATATAAAAAATCATATACGATTTGAAAAATTATAATATGTACAT